AGTGAACCAATATTTGAGAAATATAGTTGTACTTCCCATACATCAGATATGTGATTAAAACAAAGCGGATTTCATTATATTAATCATTTTGTTGCCTGAGAAATGGTAAATATAAAAACACAGAATGAACTAAAGGTGAACAAAAGGTTTCTGATTTCCAGGGGTTTATGATCAGTCTCTTACTCTTGTTCCAGTCACCTTCTCCCACAAACTATTCTGTAAAAGAGACCAAAGCTCCCTCCAAAGACAAGGAGCTTCCTTTCTCCACTTACAGCTGCTTTCTCCAAAGTTAAAAAATGCTCCATTTTCCATATTTTCCACATCTAGCCCCCCCTTTCTGCCTTTTCAGGTCCTGATCTGGGGTAACATCAATCTAAACCGTTCACCTGATCATCAAAATTCTCCATTTCAAGAAGGGGTGCAAACAGCAAAGTTTAAAACAAAAGGAAGGAAGGATGGGAACAGAATGCTGAACTACAGAACAAACATTGCTTCTGAAAACCTTGTCTCTTATACAGGGAATAAAACTGCAACACCAGCCCAGCTGTCCCCCTGCAAGGATTTCCTTGAACACTGAAAGGCCAATTAAAACATTGCTAAAGCAATAAGCACACTCATCAATTAATGCTGTCCTTAGATACAAACATTTCACTCTATGCAAGAGCCCAGTTTCACACTGTATCTTGTGCTGGCTTAGGAAATGTTTGTTGTCATCATGCTACCTTGATTAAAAATGTAACATCATTGTGAAGAAAAGAAATCTAGGTTATCTTGAAATAACTTTGAACTACATCTTTTTAATAAAAACTCAGAAAGCAGCGTCAGCTGAGTTACTGAACACTGCTTTCATGTGACAACTGAATTCTATTGCCTGACAGCTGCTTTCTAAAGGTGTCACCACCAAACCGAATTAAAGTCTCAGAAAGGGTGTGGAAGCCAAGGTTTGCTGGAGATATCAAAATCACTGCAGCTGCAGCAATAAAAAGGGTGCATTCATCAACTCCCCAGTTAAAAGGATATTGAAGGGAATGCTTAAGACACACTATACGACGTTGTAAGGGACTATAAGTTCTTTGTACAAATAACTAATGAAATCAAGACTTGCTAAGCATGAGGCCCTGCAATACAAATAACTCATGAACCCAAGCTTTGCTAAGCATGAGGCCCTGCAATGCAAATAACTCGTGAACCCAAGACTTGCTAAGCATCAAGCCCAGCAATAATGCATCAGGCTACCCTTTAATAAGCACCTCCTATAAGTAATCCCTAAATTGCCGAAAAAGCAATAAATCCGCACAGCACCCAGGCAGTAAATCACGCACATGAACGGGACGCTGTGCACACAGAACACACGAGCTAACAACGCCCAA